AGTCAATACATCCTTAAGAAATGTTCGGAAATTCTAGAGGTGAATACCATTTGAGGGATTTTAAGGAAAAAGACTGTCGCCCATGGGGGGAGTATATGGAAAATTGGATAGCCTGCTGCTGAGAGTGTTTGAAGCATCTCAGGAGGAGGAGCCCATCGTGGTGTTTATCAATATTTCAAGGCTCATACAAGGAGAAGATTTCAGAGAGCACGAGAACATCGCTGAGTGTCGGAGATGCGCCCATCTTACGTCCTCGCTGGTTACCGAGTTTACCGACCAGATGAAGGTTATTTTTAAATCTAGCTTGTACCTCAAAAGAGTCTTGTTCATTTGATTTCCCTGTGTCAGTGTTCATAAAGGTGCTAATGAACAGTAGTAGACTTGGTCACTGCGACAAGCAATTTATTCGCCTGACGTTTCGGACTCTTTCTGGAACCCATCATCAGCATTAGTGGTACAAACGGATAACTCAGACACAGAGAGTTGCAGTATTAATATGATGCAGTCGCTATGCTATCACATACCTACGGAAATTAAAAGCGTCTAGTTCATCAATGCTGGTCATTGGAGGGCCGGCATTCGAGTCTTTAATCCCTGAAATTTCTCCAACCGTGTTGAATTTATAGCAATAATTGCACGGCCATCCGGCTGAGCGGCACTGTTTAGCGCCACTCGAGTGACCAATATCTTTGGCCAAACTAAGTATCAGCAGCGTAAATGGTGTGTGGAGGTCCTTGGGCTCATTAGCAGATTAGGGGCCCGTGAGCCATGGCCTTATGGCATTTGACGCACGAATCCTATCATCTTTACCAGAATTGTTGTAGGGCCTTCGAACTGTTAACAAAGTTACCTTTTTGGAGAGAAAATACTGGACAGCTAGGACCAAAACTGTTCTTCAAACAAAATAAAGAAACAGTGGAATGAAGACACAACACATCCCAATAACATTTTGAAGTAGGAAAGCTTCTGTATAATTTTGCTGAGGCATTAAAGTGTGGTGTGCATCAACTTTGTCTAGAAATTGCTGCTTATTCAGGCAACAGTTTTAAAGAAAAGTCAAATGCTTTAGCGTTTCTATATGCATAATTAAGTCCTTGATTTTGTTGGTCAATCTATTCTGTAACGTTCTAAGATTGTAGGTATCAACTCCGAATGCTCTTTTGTGCAAAAAATAATGGCTTAAGTGGAAATTACGTTAAAGATTTCTTGGATAGCCTCTATTATCAGGATACGGGGATAGGAGCACATGCAGTAACGATGACCATGCCTAAACGTAAGTCGTAGCCCTTATCCTACCAAAACCTTTACCCCCAAACTTAACCCTAAACATAACCCTGACCTTAAGCTTACCTAACTTTCCTTGGAAATCGGCGCACGACCAACTATACTAAGGACGTTCTCCTTCCTCCTTAGAGGGTCATATCAGTAATAATTACCAAAATAACTGAAATGTTTGATAAATACTTGAGCAGATTTACCAACAACATTATATATGTTGATCCTCTAAATATCTATTCCCCCCGCTTAACTGCCTTACTTATTTTGCAGTCAAAAATTTAATGAATATTTAATTGTGGCGGAAGTGGCCAAAAATATAAAATTAAATAAGATAACGCTTGTTTCAATATACTAAATAGAATAAAATTCCATCAACATAACCTCCTGTTGCGCAGGAAACGGATGCCAGTCGAGGAAAATTCGACCTGCGATTGGTGGGATTTTGCGAAAAAAAGGGAAAATTGGCTTCCTGAAAATGTAGAAGTAGGCAAAAAAGACC